TTATTGTTAGACCAAATTAAGAAAATCTTCTAGTGAATCCGAAAATTTATATTGAATTTTAATAGAAATAGGGTCAGATTTCTTAAATTCCATAGTATTGTATTTCAACTACTCCTAGTAGCCGAGCTCTGTTCTATGAGCTAATAGCCAATCAATTATTTCAAACACAACAATGATAAGTTTAATTGGATGCTGCTTAACATAAACCATCCATAACAAATTTCTAATATATCACTATTATTATCATTTGTACTTACTCAATGATGTGGTGTACATCCATAATACTATTAGTGTTTGGGTCTACCGCATGAATTAACATATCCGTCCTTTTAAAATCAACACCACCAGTGTCTGATATATGATACTGTATGTCATCAACATGGACTAAAGCACCTGTGATATTAGCAATCAAACTAGGAGAAAACATAGTGAAACAATTAATGCCTTGCCTATGTCTGATATATGTTACTGAATATTATCGTCATGGACTGAAGCACCTGTGATATTAGCAATCAAACTAGGAGAAAATATAGTGAAACAATTAATGTCTTGCCTATGCCACTGAATATCATGTGATATTGGCAATCAAACTAGGAGAAAAGGAAACTGGTTAATCTACAATTCTCTGCACTCATTTGCTGAACTGAACATCACTGCTAGCAACAAATTTGTTATTTTAAATAATAATTCATCTGAGTGATTTTGTAAACTTGTATAAAAATGATTATTATAACATACCTAATGAATTGATCAGTGAATTCTTTCACAGTATCGGGATCGTTGTTGAATACAATCTTTACTCTTTGATTATCTTTTAACATATAAATCTGAAATTCATACAGAAAACATAGTGAGACAAAGACAGCATTGCCCACCAACCAAAGTATCATGTAAAAAAACTGCAAAAAAGTCAATGATTGTGATAATTATTAGAACTACCTTCACAATCGCTGTATCATTCTTATGTCCATTATCTTCAGCCAAGACATTCAGCTCAAAATAACCATGGTAAAAAGATACAAAAAGTTCATTTGTTCGAATAATTCCATCAAGTCTTCCAATCTTGAAGGCATTTGGCTGTACTCTCGGGGGTAAGTCAGTCGTGGTGTCCAAGTGGTAAATAGACAGTATACTGTAATACACAATACTGTTATTTCCAGTGTCTTCATCTTTGGCCGTTACTGTGATCAGCTTAGATTCATATTTAGCATCAAGTGACAACCCTGTTATTGGAAATAATGAAAATGTAGTAATCATTAATATAAAGAGAGACCCTTCCATCAGTGTTCGTAGTGAATAATTTACCGTATTACCCCGGGCATGCGCCCCTCCCTGGGCAAGCGCCCACCCCCTGTTTTCACAAAAGTTACATGTTGGGGACATCCTCGGTTAAACGCCCAGGGTGATTTTTAGCCAAGAATTAGGTCAACAATAAAGTTGTATTTGTCAAATACGAACGCGTTTGATTTATTTAAATAGTGTGTTTGTTACGGTAGTTCTCTTTTTGGAGTGTGTGGTGGCCCTGAAAAGGGCCGTTTTGTTTGTGTTTTTACGTAAAAACTCATTGGAAGAGCATCGCCAGGAGATGGACGCGGGGCTCTTTGGCAACGACCAAAAACGTATCCGTGTCCAGCCATTGGTTGGCCACGTAGAGGTCAAAATACGCGTTTTATTTTTACGCGTTAAGTTTGGCTCTTCCATTTCACCCCCTCCAAAATGTTCTACTTTCGCAGCCTAATCGCAGGTTTTTCGAAAAACGTCGAAAAAACACAAGAATTAGTGGAAATGTTTCTATTTGGGGCGGATTATTGATAGAGGATAATGTCTTTATTACAAAAATGCTGAAAAACCGTGAGTTTTTGCCTTAGTTATGTTTTTATCGGCGAAAAACTGTGAACTCAGCAAATTT